ATTGTCGTTTTAAATAGAGGTGAGGTAAGTTTATTTTATTGATTAAAAAGTAATGGAAAAATAAAGGCAATTAAAAAAGGCAAAAAAAAAGACATTTAAAGTATAGCTAACTCTTGCATTTATCGCCTGACCTATGAGAGAAAGGGGTTTCTGTCACATTAATATCCAAAAAAACAATTATAATGTTGCACATTTCCCTTCAAAAAAAATTTGAAATTGGCTACTTGCCTTATTTTGCTCACATGGTCAAACAGAAAAAAATGCATTTTTTTTTTTTATTGAAAGTTCCTAAACTCTCTGATCATCCTACATATGTATATTTTTTTATTTATACTCAGAGAACTAAAATGAAAACTAGAAACTGATTACATTTAGTCAGTGATTGGTTGGATTCTTCTTCTCAGAGTTGACATTTAGTGCTCATCCATTTTCAAAAAATCATTTTAGCAACATTCTTAAAGATAAAGCAGCCAAACTGTTAAATGCCTAAATAAAAAAGGTGCTCTCTTTTCACATTCACAGTATCAACATAATGGGAATTCTTCCAATTTATTTCTTTTTCTCAAGTCCAAACTGTTCTTAAATCATGAATCTTCATTATGAAACTACAATGAATTGTTACAGAGATTACGTTTTTGATGAAGAAAAGAGTCTTTAGATTTCCCATTTAATACCAACAGCATATATCTATTATTTTACTCACATTACACAGGAACTTAACCACTCCCTCCGGTCGGGTGTTGCCCATCAACATGATTTTATAGCTGAGCAAGATCTCCAGGGCTACAAAAACCAGGATCTTACAGGAGCCACTGATCACTTTGTCCCACACCCTTAACAAAAGAAAACATTTGAGGCGTCAGAAAGAAAATCAGGTGACAACCTTTAACATCAACAACTCTTCAGGGTTTATAAAAAGTGGTCCAGATCAACAGAGCAAAGAGAGAAGCAACTGAAAATGTTAATTGTTTTTTATACCAGGCAAAAAAGGAATTCAAACAATATGTGACTGTACTGACCTCTGCAGGCTGGATTCAGGCAGGCAGCCAGCAAAGCAGCGCTTGAACCACAGGCTGTAAGGCAGCAGAGGCAGAGCCCCAATGCTCCTCAGATGGACGAGCAGCCGAGGTTCCTCCTGACTAAGATAATGCTCCAAGCTCTTGGGCTGCAACGGAATAACCCCGACAGATTCAAAAATAACTTAAAACT